AGAGAGAGAGAGAGAGAGAGAGAGAGAGAGAGAGAGAGAGAGAGAGAGAGAGAGAAAATAGTTTCATTTTATGGGCTGGGATATAGCTCATTGTTAGGATTTTTGGCTGGTATATGCATTGTCTAGAATTTAATCGCTATTAACGGGAGGTAGTATAGAGAACAAAAGGAAAGTTTTGGTAAATTTTTATTTTATCCAGAAAACATCCTCTTTGCTTTTGCCATTCAGAGGTATTTTTAAGTGAGATATTTTCCTATTTTATAATTTAGGGCAGCAGCAATGACTCTCCGCACAGTATTATTGTCGTTGCAAGCACTATTGGCAGCTGCAGAACCGGACGATCCACAAGATGCAGTAGTAGCAAATCAGGTAAGGTGACTGTTTTTGAAAGAGTTCTTACCTCTAGGTGTCTCCATTTAGTAGTACTATGTTAACAGGAGCATCCTATTCTGAAACTAAATTTGGAAGTGGCTTTCTTCTTGCAATATGATTATTTTGTCAGGTGTAATAATGAAAATTTTCGCTTTGGATTTTAAACGTAGTAGATTTAATTGCATTCATGGTCTTTTTCCTAGTATATGAGTTTCCAAATGCACACAGTCAAGAATGACAGTGTACATGCACGTACCTCGTGTCTAGCACTCTTGATTAGCATTTTACTGCACACTATAATGTGTGTATCCTTCTCCTATCCCTCCTATCAGCCTTGATCTTGATGTGACAGAGTAACATTAAAGTGACTTTCTGATTTGCCAAACATAATATTTTTCAGTTTTGATTGTCTTTGATCAGTCAAAGACAAAAGATTAACAAATTACAGCCCAGCTGTCTTGTTTTGTAAATAATGTTTAAAACATCGCCATACCCAGAATTTGCTTGCCAACAGCAGTGACATTGTAAGGTTTAAATTAAGGATTGTTAGTCCCCTTAGGAAATATTCTGCCAGCCTGTTCTCTTAAGCCATTGTTTTAGTGAGGAATCATTGTTTTACTGAGTACCCCCACCCCCATCGTGTGGTACTGGGGCCTTTGCACTGAGCAGTGTTCCCAAGCCTTTCTGAACTTTTATTTTTTCAGAACTGGGGATGGAACTCAGGCCCTTGCACTTGCCACGCAAGCGCTTATTCTACTGAGCTATCTCCCCAGCCCCTGAACTTTTTTTTTGATTGATTGATTGATTGATTGATTGATTGATTGATTGATTGTGACAGGATCCTGTTATATAGTCCAGGCTGGCCTTTAACTTAAAGTTCAGGTAGGTATCTTGAACCTTAAGTGTTGAGATTACAGGCATGTGCCACCATGCCTGGCCCTTTTTAATTTTTATTTTGTGCTGAGTATGATGGCATATGTCTATAATTCCAGTGCTTGGAAGGCTGAGGCAGGATTGCTGTGTATTGGAGGTCAGCTTGAGCTATAATGAGTTCAAAGGTAGCCTGAATTACAGAGCAAGACCTTGTCTCAAGAAACAAAACAAAAAATTTTTGAGCAGGAACTTGCTAAATTGCTCACTCCAGGCATGAATTTGCCATTCTCTTGCATCAGCCTCCCAGAGTGCTAGGATTATTCTTCTCTTCAGAGTTGTTCCTTAATTTCTACATTGCATTGTTTTTTCCTTTAACAGTCGTTATTTGAGGGCCAGGGAGATGATAGCTTAGTAGAATAAGCGCTTGTACAAGGGCCTTATTCAACCCCTGGTTCCTCCCCGAGCCCCTCCCCCCTCAAAAAAAAAGCAGTTAGTTGATTATCTCGGCCTGTACAAGGAACCTGAGCCAAGGAGGCCTTGGGGCCACACTCTCTGCCCTGAAAGCCTCAGCTGCCCAGGGCACCTTTGGGACACTCCTGATCACCATCACGACCCCTAGATTCCAGAAGGGGTAACCCTGACAATCAGGACAAGTCAGACCAGGCTGGGCTCCAACTTGTGATCTTTCTGCCTCAGCCTCTCTCAGTGCTGGGTTTACAGTGTGCCATCTCACCTGGCTCCTTTCTTAGTATTTTTATTTGGCTGTGTAGTTTTGCCGAAAGGCCTGTGATGCTCTAATATGCAGTCCTTCCACCTGACTTCCTAGAGTTGCTGGGATCATCAGCCTACACTGATATGATTGGCTTTGGTTTATTTTTATTATTATTTTTAGAAAACTTAAGGATTTTTTTTTGGCTGGCTCAAGCTGCCTTAAGGGTGGGTCTGGTGCAGCATGTGAAGCTGGGGATTGAGCCCTGGTCCCCTGTACCTGAGTTTCCCAAGCAGGTGCTTTTAAGCAACTGAGCTAATCTGCAAGCCTCCTGAACTAATCCAAAAGCCCCCAGCTTTTGTTTATTTTTAAACAGAGTTTCTCTAGATTGCTGACCTTGAATCAGGAATCCTCTTGTCCTGCCTCAGTCTCCTGAGTAGGTAGTATTATCCATTTGGTTTTCCTTATTTTTGCTTCTTTTTTTAGACAAGGGTCTCACTATGTAGTTCAGCTTGTCCTTAAACTCTCTATGTAGCCCAGCCTACAATTTGAGTAATCCTGCCTCTGCCTCCTCAGTGCTGGGAGTACAGATGGTGCACCACCACGTGTGGCTAATGCTTTTATCTTTTTTCCATTGTTGAAGAAGTGTTCCTCACATGGTCATTGTGTGATCTTTATATTCTACCTCTCACCACAAGGCTGCCCTGTAGGATGGACAGTGCCTGGTGTAGGCTAAGGACTCCATGGGTTTCCACCTGAGAATCCATAATTACTTGGTTACAAATCAAATCCATCAAATGAGTAAACTAAAACAAATAAGTAAATAGGATTGGACTTTGGAACACAAAAGCATATTGAAAACTGCACAGCTTTAGGTGAATGTTCCTTTTGATAGTTCAACATAAAATTGCTAAAAATGAATGAGGAACATTCTGTTTTATATGATGCCATTACTATCTTAGTTTTGTATGTAACGAGTCACAGCTCTTGGAGTTTTTCCTGTGTCTGTGTTGTTCTCCTTTTTCTGTGATTTCTTTCTTTCTTTCTTCTTTTTTTTGCTTTTGTGGGAAGATGATTTATTGGCATAAGAGAACATTTAGAATAATACTACTTTCTTATAAAGTATTGCAGTTCACATTTGTTATATTGATTAGTTTTGTTTGTCACTCTGACAAAAATTTATCTGCTGTTTTGTTCATAATATCCCATATTTAATAATCAGTTCAGCTTTGATTTCCTATTTCAGTAAAGCATTCCAAGGCATTACGTATATGCTTTCTCTGTGATTTGAATTGTGTACAAATAGTTTTGTATCTTTCATGGCGTACTTGGTTTTTTTTTT